ACAGAAAGGGCACAGATAGATAAGCAGCGCGGGAGAGAGAATAAGGTGACCGGCGCTTGCAGTGCTTCACCGCATGTGTCCGACATTTTAACCATGTGCCCCATGTATGTACATTGAACGAGGAGTTTCAAACCAAACCGGGTGGATCTTTCATGGACTTTCAAAGCCAAGATGAAACGAAGGAAGTAGTGGACAAGCTCAGCTAGTAGTATGAGTAGCACAAGTGGGCTGCGGTAGCATGAGTCAGTCTGACGATGAAAACCTGACATGAATGGAACTGGTTGAAATGGCCAAGTGACCTGGCAGAAAAACCGAGAACATGTAGGAGACTTCAGCAGGCCAATTGTTCGACTAGTGTCAAAACTAGTCAGCCACAGACACTGACAGCAATTGTGTGGAGCACCGCCATGCGCTGAAACTGGACTGTGCTGGCCACTCGGCGTAACATGCTGCCATGATCTGCCATGATGTGCGGTGAACTGAGGCTGGTGGTGTCTCCAATGTCAAAGGCCTGAAGCATGAGTAACTGTTGCTGAGCCATGCAAAGAGAGAATGTTCAATTAGAGATTCAGAAAGATAAAGAGCGTTGTAGAAACGTATAGACATATTGAACGACATGAAAGACAGTGCGTGTCCAAGTGTTTCCCAGGTTTGGGCCACAGGTAAATTGTTGCAATAGGGGTAATGGATTCCATGAGGGGCTTGGCTGACGGCTGAAGAGAGAGTCCACTGATTCATAATCCCAGAAGCACACTCACTGGATCGCGGAAGTGGACCGTTTTGTATTTCTGCCTATAGCCATGAACACTCACTTTAAAGTGGTCGAAGATCACTTTCATTTGAAAAGTGGTCGTTTCAAAGAAAAGTGGACGTTTGGTGTTTTCGATAAATGTGCAAATCAAGCGCCACCCGCCTAATCTAGAATCACACTCTTTTCTATAGTTGCAGGCCATCAGGATGCTGCAGGAAATGTTTCACAGAAACCATGTATCGATACATGATTTTCAATCCATGCTTTCGGGCAGATACCCGTCTTGAAATACGGGCTATCCGCCCTATATAGTCTTCTGACATGAATGTTGCCTCTGCACAAGGGTTGATCACCCCAGTAGAGCACAACCGGAATTGTTGCAGGGCTGTATGCAAGATGTGAGCAAACATATGCATCACAGGTTTCAACGCAAAAAGGCATAAGCTCATGTTGAAAGACAGCCGGGCCAGCTTCACATAGTTCAGCAGGAAGGCATGCCCTGAGGAAATCATTTGCCATGCCTCTTGTTCGGTTAAAAAAAACGACCCTGTGAAGACGATGGTCATGAACTGATGGATTGCACCACATGCATCGATGATCACAGCGATGCACTCGTCATCCGGGAAATCAAACACATACTTCACACAAGCGTGTTCAACGAACTTGCATACAGTGGCCGTGTCCATATTTTTCGACCAGTGTCCTTTTGGGTAACTTCGGGAAGACTCGTAGCCCAGCATTTCAAATGAAAACTGACGGAAATTACACTTCTCTTTCGTGTCCTGGAGGAACTGTCGGAAATCAGCATTGAGAAGCTGTAGCGAAGTGTCTATCCGCCTTTGTTTGTAGATGCTCTTGCACAAGTAGACAAGGCATGAAGCTGCATAATCTTTCCCAAGCCCTGCGTGAAACACATGGAATAAATCCGGTTTGAAGAAACCAGCCACATCTGTATCGTTAACAGGGAGATAGTGTAGCAAAGGTGAAGGCTCGTCCCATGGTAACAGATTGTTGGGTCCACATGTTTTGGTCCACTCAGCTGCAGTCAGCCTAATGTCTTCGAACGGTGGGCCATTTGTTCGGCCAGCTGCACACAGGTAGCACACACCCTTCAGAAGGGCAGTAGACCGTGCACTTTTGCGTACATTGGAAAAACTCCGCACATGATTTCCAGCTTCACGCAAAAATGGAGCATCACCTGTCAATCCTAAGATTGCAACCCGCCAGACTTCCCCGTTGAAGGTGAAACCCTCATGGAACAACTTCTCCAGGTACTTGCCCCATGCATCAAGCAAAGCTGTAAATCTATGGCGGCTCTTCTTGTAGAATTCGGTTTTCATTGCAGTAAAAAGGTAACGGTTTGTAAAAGGGTTCCCTTTCAGATTGACGCCCGGCCGGAAACTGCCATCATCAGCTCGGAATGGGCGCTTCGGCCCTTTGCCGGGCACTGGCTCCAAGTTGACAGGGCTCCTTGCAGTTCCCTCACCAAAGGCACTAAACATAGACAGAATCATGATCGAATCCTTCTTGTAAGTCCTCCCACCATCACCATGCAAATAATACGGAAGTAGGTGGCTAAAGTCAACCGGCGGTTGCTGATGAAATATTTCGTGGTTTGGAAAAATCTTCCGGTAGGTGTGCCAAAATCTGGGCAAAGCGCCATCAGAATAAGCAATCGGAACACCAAGAATTTGTTGAAGAAGCCACTGCTTGCAATTGTTTCCAGCATCTCTTTTGGGGGAAAACACGGGTATGAGAAACTCTGGTCCAACTGGAGCTCTACACGCTTAAAGTCCATTGCCAATCCACATGCAGCTAAAGCATTGAATAGCGGGTTATCGGCATCCTGGGCATGCCCTCTTGCAATGCGCTTCAGAGTTTCGCAGTCATCTTTTCGTGAAGCAGCTTTGGCTTCCTCAATGCAATCCACTGCAGCAACCTCAGATAGAACAAGTTCATATATCAAGCACACGATGCAAAACATTAGGTATGTTTGTTAGCAGCAACCTGCCATGGGATGTCGAGCAGCCCCCTTGGCATAGAGCTTTGCAATGTGGTGCACGGTGTCACTCAGCTGCGGTTTCCCTGCGAGGGTGGGTAAGTAAGACTTGAAAAAACTACATTCAGTGAGTACATGAAGTGGGTTATGTGAGGATCAACGTTATCACACATGCTTTACATATGTTCCAGCATGCATGCTGCAAAATTCTTTTCCCCGACTCAGTGGCAGACACAGGATCTACGGCATGCACGTTGTTTCCACATGCCCTGCCCGGACTGCATACCCCATGTCACATATTTCAGAAAGGGTAGGTGCAAATTGCAACCCATATAGACCATGACCATGAGCTGTTGCATAGCCAACCCGGTCGTTTGAAACACCTATTCAGCTTCATTCGTTCTTCACCCTCTTGGCCTTCTTCGCCTTCGACACGAAGTGCCTAGAAAAGAGAGAGAAAGAGAGGGGGTGAAAGAGTACTGGCAGTGACCTGAGGTTTTTCTATGTACTTGCTTCAACTTTGTTCTGGTCTAAGCCATTTGCTGCGCTGAAGCTTGGGCGGTGGTGCCCTTTGACATCCTTGGATACGCGGCTATTTAGGTCTGGGAAAAAAGTGCTTAATTGCTTTCAAACAAAATGGTGCTAAGCTTCGATTTGGTGAGTTCCTTGAAGACAGCATCAATCTTTCCAGAAAGCCTCGGTTTGGTCTTAGGGGTTCGGCATTTTCCTACTTCAGATTGCGAATTGAATTCACTGAATATAGCCATGGTAAGATCTGGCCAAAGAAGCTCTTCAGTGAAACCAGTTGTGTTTCCCTCAGCTTGCATGTCCGACAGCTTGTCATAAGATCCATCGAGCTCGTTGATGATCTTGTCCAATTTGTCCAACGTCCTCAGCCGCCCAAGGAAAAACATCAGCTTGCTGGGAATATGGGTCTTCACTGGACCGGCATCCTTTGTCACAGTGGAGGCTGGAGGGGAAACATTAACCAAGAAGCTGTTTGCAAGAAGGATCTTCATTGGCAAGATCCCTGATTTTGTCACTCACTGCACACAGGGAGTTCTTTGTTTTCAACGCGTTCTTGAGATACATGCCCAGCTTGGATTTCGCCTTAGTTTCAGAGGGCTTCCTAAGACTTGCAAAACTTGTTCTCCTTTTAGTGGCTGACAACCATCATTTAAACTTTTTTTAGCCAAGCCAATTTGTTGCTATCCAGTCACCTGAAGACCACTGTCCCCTTCAGTACTCAACTCCGGGGGTCCGCTCTGCCCTAAGTCACCAAACCCCCCAGTCTCACCATTGAAATCGGGAAGGGTGATGTCCTCCACCTCACCCTCATGGGTTTGGGAATGCGACAAGCGTTGCAAGTCCTCACGGCTCAAAGTTCCACTGGTACGCACATTGACCCAGTACTCCAAGTCAGAGTCATCATATTCGCAGACCCTAGCGGAAGCTGAGGTAAATTGGTAGTGACTGGGAATTGGAAACATTGGGGCAGCATTGCATCAAATTGATATATCATGCATGCAAGGGCCTCACCAGTTTTTTGCTGATAGCGAATTTCTTGATCTTGTCGATGCGATCCCTTAGTAAGGATTTTAAGGCCCTGAGGCAACAGAAACAATGCACATGTGTTGACATGAAACCCGCAATAAATAGATGCCAAATTACTGATGATATCCCAATTCGGATTTCATATCCTCCTCATTGTAAAAGCCGCCCTTCACTTCAATCTTCTTGCTCTTGGTGGTTGTTGACAGGATCTCCACACGCTGCATGAACACAGCCTCCAAAGAAATGAGAAGTATATATAGTCTAGATAAATAGGTTGGGGGTGGCACAATTGGCTTAGGATGCGATAATTTGAGAACAAGACGGCTCTTTTTTGGGCGGATCACCTGTTGACCTTGCCTTGACGCCACCAGACTTGCACCACATGTTGAGTAAGTTCTCCTTACCTTTCTCCGTCTGCCACATCTCGTAGATATCGCGTGGGACGGCCAAGTTGCCTGTAGTGGCCTTGGGGGTAACAATTCTCTTCACCTTGTCCTTCTCGTATTTACTCATGGTGGCTACATGTAAGACGATTGGAACCTCGGACCCCTCATGGGCAGGATCCTCCAGCTGCGACGCTGGTCGAACAGCCGGCATTTCAGGTTGCTTGGCTGCAGTCTTGGGCAGCACAGCCAATGCACCAGGGACAGGGGTGGGTGGCTCCTCCACCTTAGCTGACATGATGATAGCCGGCGTGGCCTAAACTTTTTAGTCCCCATGTAACTCACTGGATTGTCACTTTGATTGTAGCAAGGGTATTTGATCCCGCACAGCATCCTTAATCAGCAGAGCCACGGGCTCAGCAGGCACAGGAATGGCTGTATCCACCTTAGTTAGCGTGAGGATAGAAAGCTATAGACTTCTCTACCAAAAATAAATCCCTTGCCACCTTGTACGGGGTATTTGATCAATTATATAAATCAATTTGATCAACAGAGCCACTGTGCTGGGAAGTGTAGCAGTTGATCAACAGAGCCATCAGTGTTGACACGATATAAGAATTTTCTTGCCCACCAAAAATGTGTGGCGACAGCATATATTGTTTGTTTTTGTTTGGAATGTCGTCCTGTTTGGGTAATCTTCGTTACCAGTTCAAACTTTGACAAAGAAGCATGCATGGCTGCTAAGGAGTGCACCTAATTCCACCAGAAACCATCCCCATGTTTTGTAACATGTCTATATGAATCCAAGATCAACATGAACCCCAAAACCTCAAGTCCTTCCATCTGTTCTAGTTGCAAGCAATTGACATGATCGGCAGCAAGCCCATTCATCAATTGGGATTGATGGTGCGCAAGTCTTTCAGTGTCATTCACCTCATCTGTCAGTGACTGGGAAACCTGGCCAGCCTTACTTTTGACGAGCTCTGCAATCTGCGACTGCTGCTTGTTGACAATATCCATGAGGATTTGCATCTTCCGGTCCTAAGTATCCATGCTATGCATCCCCTAAAAAACATCCTGAAAATAAAGAGCAGCCCGTGTTGCAAATGGACAAGGTAGAAACTGCACATGCGGTTTTGCTATTTGCTTACTAGTAGCTGCAGTATTCGCTTCATGCGCAACCGATGGGGCAGTGGATGGGGATGGAACGGGCGTGAAGATTGCAAGAGGCTGCGTGTCCCCTGCAACCTGTTCACCGTGAAGGTAAACAAGGGAAGAGTCAGGTAGGGGACTTCCTTTGCTCTCACTGACTCCATCCAGCTCTGGCATCAAAGAACGTTCAGTCACCTTCTGGGTAGGTGGGGCTTTTGGTGATGGGGCCAAGATTCTGGCCACCTTTGCTGCCGTGTTCTCAACATCATTGGTTCTTTTCCGTGGCACAGCCCTGGGGGACGTTCCACCCTTCCCTTTCCCCAAGTTGGGAGGAGCAATGGGTTTGTTGGCAGGGCGTGCAACGTCTTGCACTTTCATGGGGGGCGCAGCTTTGGTGGCGGTGGGCACCCCTTTTGGAAACGACTTGGTATGGGCCTGGACATCCAAGTTAGGTGAGTCATCTGGGCTCTGCACCTAGGCAAGAGAAACAGGAATGGCAGTATTCTGATACAATTCTTTTTGACAGGGATAAGTCGATATAGGCACTAAATCCCTTGATGCCACAGACTCCACGTGTGTTTAAATTTCCATGTGGTTTCTGCTTGAAGCCCAGCCTTCCGTCCCATGGCAATCAACTCCTCTTTGGTAGCGGGAACTGTGGTAGCAGTAGAGTCGGACCTGCCAACGGCCCCAGGCTTCTCGGAAATGGCTTCCTGCATGTCCATCAGAGCCTGCCACTTGTCAACGACAGCTGCAAGGATCAGCGATTTTGTATGTTTTTAGGTTCTACTCCAATTTCAGGATCCCAGTGTATGCAACGTGTTGCAATCGACGTTTGTTGAAGCAGCACAGAAACCAGTAAAGGTGAATTCCTTTCAAACCCCTTTTCTATCAAGTACCCGCAAAATGAGATTTTAAACCACCACCTGAATTGGGATATTTGGTGCCATAGCCAAATCTCGACGACTAGTGTGACTTCTTAGCCATGTATTTCCAAGCGCATGGACGCACAAAAAGCATCCTCCTTGGAAAAATCTTTATAAAATAGATCACCTGGGGGTACGATTCTATAGAGATGAGGCTGGTAGGCCAGTGTTTACTATAGAATGGTACCTGGATTGTGCCCATCCAGTTTACATACCCAAAAGGGACACCAAACTTGAGGCATTGCAAACCCAGTGTTCTATTCTATAGGTTTTTTTTTCCTAATCACTTGGACTCAGGTTTTCATTCTATAGTGGATGATTTGTTTAGAAGCGGTGGGTATGAGGCTGGGTTTTCATTTTATAGGAGTGGAAGGGGAGGTGTCAGTGGGCAATAATATTGTAAATGCTGTATGATACTGTAAAATATTGACACATACTGCAAACAAATAAGTAATCAACACTGTTAACGAATCAGTTTTGTGCAGGGCTGCTCCTTTAAAATGGAAATCCAACCCCCTCTGTAAAATAGTCACCAAATATATTCTTTTGTGGAATGGTGCCAGCCCAGATCCAAAAAGTGAAACAAAACTTAAGGCATTGCAAACCCAGGTTTCTATTCTATAGGGGGTCTTTTTCCTAATCACTTGGACTCAGGTTTTCATTCTATAGTGGATGATTTGTTAGAAGCGGTGGGTATGAGGCTGGGTTTTCATTTTATAGGAGTGGAAGGGGAGGTGTCAGTGGGCAATAATATTGTAAATGCTGTATGATATTGTAAAATATTGACACATACTGCAAACAAATAAGTAATCAACACTGTTAACGAATCAGTTTTGTGCAGGGCTGCTCCTTTAAAATGGAAATCCAACCCCCCTCTGTAAAATAGTCACCAAGTATATTCTTTTGTGGAATGGTGCCAGCCCAGATCCAAAAAGTGAAACAAAACTTAAGGCATTGCAAACCCAGGTTTCTATTCTATAGGGGGTCTTTTTCCTAATCACTTGGACTCAGGTTTTCATTCTATAGTGGATGATTTGTTAGAAGCGGTGGGTATGAGGCTGGGTTTTCATTTTATAGGAGTGGAAGGGGAGGTGTCAGTGGGCAATAATATTGTAAATGATACTGTAAAATATTGACACATACTGCAAACGAATAAGTAATCAACACTGTTAACGAATCAGTTTTGTGCAGGGCTGCTCCTTTAAAATGGAAACCCAACACCCCCTCTATAAATGGTCCCCAAGTATGTTCTTTTGTGGAATGGTTCCAGCCCAGATCCAAAAAGTGAAACCAAACTTAAGGCATTGCAAACCCAGTTTTCTATTCTATAGGGGGTCTTTTTCCTAATCACTTGGACTCAGGTTTTCATTCTATAGTGGATGATTTGTTAGAAGCGGTGGGTATGAGGCTGGGTTTTCATTTTATAGGAGTGGAAGGGGAGGTGTCAGTGGGCAATAATATTGTAAATGCTGTATGATACTGTAAAATATTGACACATACTGCAAACAAATAAGTAATCAACACTGTTAACGAATCAGTTTTGTGCAGGGCTGCTCCTTTAAAATGGAAATCCAACGCCCCTCTGTAAAATAGTCACCAAGTATATTCTTTTGTGGAATGGTGCCAGCCCAGATCCAAAAAGTGAAACCAAACTTAAGGCATTGCAAACCCAGGTTTCTATTCTATAGGGGGTCTTTTTCCTAATCACTTGGACTCAGGTTTTCATTCTATAGTGGATGATTTGTTAGAAGCGGTGGGTATGAGGCTGGGTTTTCATTTTATAGGAGTGGAAGGGGAGGTGTCAGTGGGCAATAATATTGTAAATGCTGTATGATATTGTAAAATATTGACACATACTGCAAACAAATAAGTAATCAACACTGTTAACGAATCAGTTTTGTGCAGGGCTGCTCCTTTAAAATGGAAATCCAACCCCCCTCTTTAAAATAGTCACCAAGTATATTCTTTTGTGGAATGGTGCCAGCCCAGATCCAAAAAGTGATACCAAACTTAAGGCATTGCAAACCCAGTGTTCTATTCTATAGGGGGTCATTTCCTAATCACTTGGACTCAGGTTTTCATTCTATAGTGGATGGTTTGTTAGAAGCGGTGGGTATGAGGCTGGGTTTTCATTTTATAGGAGTGGAAGGGGAGGTGTCAGTGGGCAATAATATTGTAAATGCTGTATGATACTGAAAAATATTGACACATACTGCAAACAAATAAGTAATCAACACTGTTAACGAATCAGTTTTGTGCAGGGCTGCTCCTTTAAAATGGAAATCCAAGCCCCCCCTGTAAAATAGTCACCAAGTATATTCTTTTGTGGAATGGTGCCAGCCCAGATCCAAAAAGTGAAACCAAACTTAAGGCATTGCAAACCCAGTTTTCTATTCTATAGGGTGTCTTTTTCCTAATCACTTGGACTCAGGTTTTTATTTTATAGTGGATTATCTGTTAGAAGCAGTGGCCAGTATGATGCTGGGTTTTCATTTTATAGGAGTGGCAGGGTGCTGTTGGCTTTCTTGGGTTTCTATTCTATAGGGAAAATCCCCCTTCCTTAGTCCTGGGTTTGCGTTTTAGTCCCTATAGAATGGAACCCCCAGGTTTGGTTCGAATTCCAACAGGGATCAAAAAGCAATATTGTTGACATGAGACATTTTAGTGAGCACAACTTTCAGATGCATTGTACAGCATAGCCCAAGGCTATGCATAGTAATCCTGGGCAAAAACAGCAAACTCAAATCCCCTACAAGGCAAAAAATGAGCCCAAGCATTTGCATGTTCATATGGGGAAAATATGGCATAGTGCTAGTTCCCCGCAAGAGCCATATATACATGGTATCCCTTGAATAAGTAATCATCGAAAACTGGCCTGCTTCAACTTCTCAAGTTGGTTTGGGTCATCCGGGAGCTCCTGTTTAATTGCCAAAAGGCATTCCTTGTCCATGTGGTGGATGCCGGCCAACATGGTTGATGCACTCCACCCGTTACGCAACACCGGTCGAGGTGATGCCATTGCGCTACCTGCCAGTGATCCAGCGGATTGTGGGTCATGCAAGGACGGACGGGTTCGAAGGGGTGGTGTTCGAACTGGTTTTCTAGATGTTCGAAGTGTTTTTTCGAACTCGTTCGAACAGATTTCGAACATTTTCGAACAAAAACGCTCAAAAATGTTCGAAAAAAAAAGTGATCGTTGGAGTGGAAGAAAGTGGATGTTGCTCATATAAAAGTGGAAGTTTCAAAAATCCCATTTTCGAACAAATAACAAACCATGAGTTCGAACTGACAACCTGTGAGTTCGAACTAGCATGTTTCGAAAAAAAATGATGACCTTTTGAAAATGGCCTTTGTGGTATACACTTTTTCCATCTTGTACCTGGCCTCTTCGAGTGTAGCTGCCAATGCACTCCGAGAACAAGCTGAAAAGGGGCTAGAACAGTGATGCCATATGAACATTGCTTGGCACACGGGATCAAATAGGAATTGTGGTGTGCCTCTTGGTAAGTTCTAGATTTATCCCATAAATGGGTCATTTCAGGGTTTCGCTGAACATAAAGTGATTGGCTAGGTAAAGCATAAACCAAACCTCAAATAAGGAGCTTTGTTGCAACCTCCTTCATCATATAATTGATCTATATTTTGCCAACGCCAGATCGATAACTCTTTTTTGAACCAGCCCTATGGTCCTAAGCTCACAAATGAGATGGAATAATCCATTCCCATTCTGGTGGTACACGAAGGCTTTTTGCCCCCAACAAATATCGTGCCACATCCCGAAGCTTTGCATCGTCCCAGGTGTCGCCAAAGCCTTCGGTCTCATTCCACAAGGCCTTGAATTGCGCGGCTGCATTTTGCCGGCTGATGGGAGAAGGTTGTTGGAATTCATCCTTCATGTGGGGCAAAATGTCCTTGGCCATCTTGAGAGAAAATTCACGAGTATATGTCCTTGGTTGCATATAAAAGTGAAAGCTCTAGGATTATCGATGTGTCAAAGAAAGCAAAGGGCCCATCAACATACACATGATTTTTTTAAACCGAGATTCTGGGTGCTTCTTAGCGACTTGGTTCCATGAAAACGTTTCTTACCTTGAGAATCTACATAGGTGACCGTAGTCTTGAAATCAGGGTTGTTCTTCTTCAAGGATTGACGGATCTCCTTTGTCAGCTTACCAAGCCAGAACTTCCTGATCTGCTTTGAGTTGCTCCATAACGATGTCCGTTTTGGGGTTTTGCTATTGAAGAATGCCATCCAAAAGTTGCACCGATATACCTTGGCTACAGCTACAATCAACAGTGACTACGCTCACCAGGAAAGAGAAAGAGAGAGAGGGAGAGAAGGAATGCATACACATGATATATATTCCTACAATTTGATTCAAAAATTCTTCATATAAGCCCCTGACCCGGACGAGACGACAAACCCACTGTAGTCTGTGATGACGCCATAAGATACTGGAGGACGGTTGCTCCACCACAAATGTGCCGTAGAGGCATATGACTAGGCATATCACCAATGCAGCCCTTGACGCTTGCAGGTTTCCTTGCCTCACCGACTCCAGGGCCTGGTTTCCAAGTGGATCAAAGATGGATCAAAGAAGGATCGGAGGGTCGTGGGACGACTTATTGATACCCACGTGGAACATTTAATGCCCAGCCAAGTGCAAAAACCTTCAACATCTCCACGAAGAACTGATACTAGGTGTGTCCTTAAAACGGGATGAAATTGATTATTGGCACTGCAGTTGCCATGGTAGACAATGCCATGCATTTGGTATATCAATTAAGAGTAGCACGCAAACCCAGCTGAAGTGCACACATCCATTGCTGGATGATAGTCGATATCCAATTTGGCGCTCGCGCCACACTGTTCCCTCGCTGCTCGGGTCATGGCTCCGCACCCTGCATAGTGCTCTATGAATGTGTAGCCCTTAGCTCAGTGGCAACCCCGCTGGCCAGGTCATCCCGCACATGTTCGATATAAGTCTGAACTGCATGGGGTTTGATGCGACCAAAACTGCATACCTATACCACTATGGCCTCGTTAAGCTCCACCCGGCTGTTCCAGTAAAGCAGACCGATCACCAGGATAAACAACTGCCAGGAGTCCACTGATTGCAAAGCATGGGAAGCTAGTGAAGCAGTTGTCTTTGTCAATTGTCAAATCAAATGTTCAGACTGATAGCTGGCCTTTGGCGCACCTTTCTTCAGCATGGACAACCCTACACTTTCAAAAGTACGGTGCCCCATGGCAGTCCAGGGATAAAACTGGGACTATGGTCAAATGGCTTACTTGAGAGCTGTGGTTGCAGGTACACAAGTATATCCCAAAGGCTAGACGAGCAATCTGAAGTGTTGCAATAATTTTACCAGTGTCTCATTGTCAATCTTCTCCCTGGGCCATCAGCAGGGCATGGGCGGGTCAGCACCTTGTCGAGGAGGAATGCGTGGAAGTTCGTCATATTCGTCATCAGATATCCAGCCGGTACCTCTGCAGGCAGTGCCATGGGAAGAGCAATGGTGGGTAAACGGTAATGGTAAATGGGTTGAGAATTAGAATCTGACCCGCTGTCAACTTGTATTCCAAACCTACATTTGGATGTCCAAGAGGGTTGAAAGTATTTGCAATGATTGCTATCAACATGATCCCTATCCACCTCTGAAAGGTAGACACAATTTCCAAAAGTTTCCCACTCCGAGGAAAAACATTGAATTTTCCCGTTAGCTTGCCACGGTGAAAGGGAAAAATCCCAAAATGCCAAATTTCCAAGGGGGGGTCCTTTTTGGGAGTTTTTCAGGTTGGACAGCGGCTAACCAACAAAAGAGAATGTGGTGTATGGAATATTTTCCTTGTAAGCCTGGTGGATGCCTTACTTAATGATGGAAGATCAAATCAACCTGGACCCCTGTAAACACAATGACCATTTTCCAAGTTCTTTGCGGCGCGGTGGTTTGACGCTGACTGATCGCCACAGAAGCCATGGGAATGAAGCCGTGCATCCCCGTGTGACCAAGAGTGACCAAGATTAACATTGTCAAAAACATACTGCATGGAATTGTAGGAAACTATATGCAGCTGGTTTCATATATTGTCACTTACCGCACGCCTTTCCCCCATGGCCAAAAGCATCACTATGGCTGGAGGTAGCGGCTCTGTGGCCCCTTAAGATCAAGACCCCATGAAAGCTCCCCATTGAAGCTCTTGGCTTCCATTTGAAATCACTCATACAGCTGCGCAAGAGATTGGCCGCTCAGGCTGAGATGGACTTCATATATGTGGCGCCAGTAGCGGTGAGCCAAGCACCTTGGTTTGAACTTGTAATCCCCATTGAATGGTATGAACTTGATAGGGTACAACATCCCAAAAAGTTAGCCACAAATGCACCACAAATGGTCAAGTAAAAAATGTAGATCACTATAAACATGCAGATAATTAAAGCTAGGGACTGATCGTCTCAGACTTCAGAAAGTCAATGGCCAACTCCTTCGTGATCACATCAAGCTTGTTGCCGTTCTCCTTGACGTGGTTGCAGCAGACAACCCACCACTGCTCCTGCGGAATCCATATGGCAGGATCATGTCCCAAATAAGGTTGAATGTCTATTTTCCAGTCTGCCCCTTTTGAGTTTCTTTGGGAGTCAAAAACCTTGAAGACAGACAAAGGTCACCCAATGAAACAAGGTTTAAAATGTATCTATTTGCTCTAATGGGCTTGGCTGCTATTGGGGGTATGAAAAACTTTATAAATGTAAAATGTTTTCATCTCACCTGAGCCATGTGTTGAAACCCAGCCCTGTCCTCTGCCCAGACTTGGCCTTGAACCTTCCCACTGATGTACTTTTCATAGGAGTCGCGAATTGCAGTCCAACGCTCAGGGTATGTGTTGGACTGGCTGCGCTTAGCGAAAGTCTTTTTGGGGATATGCGCACCATCACCATCGCCCTCAGCAACACACTTTGCCTTGCGCTTCTTCTCAGCCTCCACCTTGCCCTCCGCCTTAGCTTTCGAATTGCTTTTTGCTCGTCTCTTCTTGGGGGGTTCCTCTGCTTCTTTGCTATCCTCACTCTCCTCCTGGTCCACCTCTACACCATCATTGTCATCATCGTCATCATCATCCTTGCACTTGGCCTTGCTCTTCCCCTTGGCTTTCGCCTTGGCTTTCGCCTTGGCTTTCGCCTTGGCTTTGCTCTGCGCCTTGCCTTTCGGCTTGTGTGTGCTCTTCGCCTTGGCTTTCGCCTTGGCTTTTGCTCTCGGCTTCTTCCTGACGGAATCCTCCTCTGATTCTTTGCTATCCTCACTCTCCTCCTGGTCAACCTCTTCATCATCCATTTCACCATCATCATCCTTGCCCTTCGCCCTGCCCTTCGCCTTAGCTTTCGCCTTGGCTTTTCCCGGGTTCTTCTTGGGGGGCTCCTTCTCCATACCTTCATCCTCCACATCACTCTCCTCCACATTGCCTTTCTTTCGGGCCTTTGCCTTGGCAAGAGCAAGCTGCTGCTCTCTGAGAAAGACTTCAATGTCCACCTCCCCAGAGGCCGCAGGCTTTCCATCGGTGACCTGCCATTTTTTCAACGACAGGGTGCTTCTGGGATGTGCATGATAGGAGCCCAAAATTTAAATCATGCATTTAAAAAAAACATCATGAATCATGAGTGCATGCTGCACCATGGCCTTTGTTTCTGCTTCTGCCATTTGTGCTGCCAGAAACTTGCCCGGGTCCTCGATCGGCGGGGTGTCTCGTTCAGCACCTGGAACACCTGACTTTGATGCAGGCAACGGGTCCTCCTTTTCAATCGGCTGGGTGTCTTGTTCATCACTTGCAGCAACTGAACCTGCAAAATCATGGTATTGGCAGCGGCGGTAGCTGTGGTGAAAAAAGGTCATGGGTCAGTTGGGGTATATAAAAAACAAACAGATTCAAACAACCAAGTAGCTATCAAACCCTTCCAGGTTGTTGGTGGATTTTCCATGACGAAGCCTGGCATCATCACCAGAAAGCCTCAGATCCCACCGAGAGAACAGTAATTAAGCCAACAGCTTGGGGGATTGGGGAACATAGGAAAAGCGAAAGAAAAGGAACAAACTAATTGAGATAGCAAAGGACGGTGCATGTGACTTAACACCCCTCTGCCCCATCTTCACCTTGACAAGATCGAGAAGAACTGACAACTGCTCTCGTTGAGTTGCATGGGATGGAGCTGGGGTCGCTGGAGCCTCCTTCGCCCCCACCACCTCGACTTCGGAATCGGACTTTGTCTCCTCTTCCCTGAAATCCCACCCTGCTTCTCGAAAGTCTAGCCCCTGCGAATCACATGGGGGGTGCTCTTCGTGTGCCATAGCGTCAGCAAGTGCTTCTAGTTCAGTGTATGACTTTGCTTGTTCCTCTTCAAAAAGGGAGCTGCTGCGGGATAGAGACTCACGAAGTGTATGACTGCTCATTTGGTCATCATCATCATCATCATCATCGTCGTCGTCATTCCCACTTGCAAGGTCAGTTTGAAAGATGAAAGGGGATCGGCCCTCCTAAGTAGGTGTACAAGTTTATTCATTGAAAGAAAGTGAGTTGCTAAAAGGCATTCCCAATGCATCAATTAGCAACCGTTACAAAGTGAAAAATTCATATCGCGAATCAAGATTCTTCTGTGGCTCTTGTTGCAGCCATTGACACATCCATCACCAGGTCTCGGACTTTCTTGTCCTAAATGGTTTGATTGGTATGCATGGGAATATTCAGACTAGGTATTTTGGACAGCATGTACAACATTGTAAACAAATCGGAAAAGAACTTGTCATGGTTGGAAACTGAGGTACACGTGGCATTTCCCATCTCTGCCATTTGGAACGGATGACCCGCAGCATCTTCTTCAAGGACTTAGCAACTTGATGGCAAACAGTTTTTGCTTGGTCCGAGGAAACATCCCGCTCCATCAACTCATAAAAGGCAATCACTGATTTCTGTATTGGCGGAAGAAGGCGTGTTACAATGACGCCTTGCTCGGCCATGTGAGCCGTGAAACCCTTCAACAAATCATAGTTCTTGCTGATGATTTCAAGCGAAGGAGGTGGTGATAGAATTGGCCCTTTGTCATTTTGGATGATCGAGACCCCTTGAATGGCCAGCTTCCGAGTCGAACGGGAGTGCTCCCATTTTCGAATGCATGGCTCAACATAGGAAAAAGATTTCCGCAACTGTTGGAGTTCCATCTTGGGCAAAAATGCTAGCATGGTATATGGGTTGTATATGGTAGGACATGGTAGGACAACCTAAACCTTTATTTCTTAAACACAACCTCCACCCAACGTTTCCATAGGCGCACGGTCTATCTTGGCCCCAGGTTGTCGTCATCATTGGCCAAACCTGGCATGCAGTCGTGCATCTGAGCTTGGGAGGTAAAAAGTCATTAGGGTTCACAATCACAAGGTGGAAGAAAATCCCAGCCCAAAGTGGTAAGCATGGCAGTGATACTTTCCAGGGAGCCATCACTGGGCTACGGCCCACCATGAAGCACAGAGCTAGAAGCGTGAAAATCGGTCAATGTGTTGTGCATACTATTGGACAAGTTGCATCGCAAGTTACATTTTCTAGATAGAGTGGCCACAGTTGGGGTATTTGATGTAGCTCCTTCTGTTACCTTGGTTGTAGCCTAAACCTAAATATATGCACCTATATCCGATCCAACACATTGATGATGATTAGTATCGATATGCTATATATAGTATATAAACTTGTAATATATCCCTTGAAGAGCGGGCGACATCACTGCCATGCTTGGTCATGCAGGTTCGCACCTTGGCTGAGAAAAGGGTCCAGGGCAAAGTGGTCGTTTCACAGAAAAGAGGTCGTCCATCACAACACCTACTTTAAACTGATCGTTTGCTGTTCCAGGTGTATGTGTTCTAACAGATCGCTGCCAGGGGGCATTTCCTGGCGGCTATTCAGAGGGACACCGGCTATGTGTGTTCGTGGCTTAGGGTTCATTCACCGATCTGATAGTGGGCATGCATCCTAGAGAAGCTGTTGTAAGGCAGGAGTTTTTGTTGGTGCCGGTGACCATCAGTGCCAAATTCATGCGGGGAGAAGATACCAAAAAGGGCCCCGCCTGATGATTCGACAACTTTCCTGTGATGTTTTTTCTTGCAACAATGCCCTTCTGCGGACCTAGGTCCGCTACCCATGGAAAGCCTGGGGCTCTCAGCAACACCCACATTTAAGGTTGAAGGGGCAAGTTGCCACGCATTAATCAGAGACATTGAGAGACCTTTTGCTTCGGCTATTTGCTCTCATCCAATCCAATATTGTTCCATTTGACACTGGGAAATCTGGGAACGGGAATGGGTGATGGATGTGATGGTTTCCATTGCTGAGGGGATTGAAGAAGACTACCTTGCAAGGAGCCTTCCAAGAGTATGGCGCCAGCCTAAGAGCTGACTAAGTTGTCAAAAGTAGTGGTTGGTAAGCCATCGCTGGCGTAGCTCTTTGATCCCTTGAGAAGTCGAATGAAGTCGATATTTAAATTTAAATATATTGAAGAGCACTTACTGAATCTGATGACCATCACTTTCAAATGAGTTCGTTTGACAATTTGTGACCAAGCTATTTCTCGTCACTTCACTCGATAACTTGCAAGGGAGTCAATTCAACGCAACATTAGCATGCAAATTGGTTCAGCACTGCATGAGCAGTGGTGGGCCTCTCCAGAAGACACCATGCGCACTTGAGGACACATCCTACAAATCGAAACTCCAAAGCCAAACCTGGCGTTCATCGTGCAGATCTCAAAGCCACCCACCACACCGAACTTGCAAGCTATGTGCGAGCGCCCACACGCGTGCCAGATGCACCTGCCTCAAGCCTACCCCAACCGTCTAAGTGAATGTTACAAGGCCTTCGCAGATAAAACAGATGCACAAGATGCCTTGGAGTGCATACCTCAAGGGTTCAACTGCACGGATTTCCGCATGCTTTGATATTTTTGATTTTGGGAGCGAAAGGGCTCGGGCAATTTTGTAACTTCGCAGATTTCACAGATATTGGGCAGCTAAGGGCGATGGATGGCAAGACTCTTGATGGACAAACTTTGACCGTCAGCAAAGCTGGGCAGCAACCTTGGAGGGTCACGCTAAGACAGGGGTTACAGCTGGTTACAGTGGTTTCCACGGACACGCGGGGATCTAAGGTCAGATTGAAGTGGTGTTTTCTCATGTTTTCTCACGATTTTTGGTGCCGAGCTTTTAGGCCAAAACCCACATACCGCCCTCAAGCAGATCCCAATGAGAACTTCAAGAAGGCCTTTGGCATACCATGGCATACCATTTAAATCTTGCACCGCTACATGGGATGATTTCGTTTTTTATTTCGCAGTTGCCGGATGGTATTTCTGGGATGGGTTGAAACATGTTGGAACCATTTACCAGGGGAAATGTTGTTGATCAATATCACAGATGCCTGCAAACATGCCACAGTCAGCTGCCAAAATTTGGAATGGAGAATTGCTAGTGCTTCCAGGAGGCGTTTATTATCATGTGTTGTTTCGTAGGTCGAGAGAGCCGATAAATGATGATGTGCAGTGTAAATATGCACAGAATTGAATAAATATCATGAGGATGCATAAGGTATGTATATATATACTATGAGTATGTGATAGTATGTGTTTGTGATTAATGTGTGCGTACACTGAATGTAACTAATGAATCACTCAAACATACTCAAACATACTCAAACGTTCACTTTGTCAGATGTGGGTAGTTGTTCATCTCGGGAAACCGTCCAGGTGCTTATGACCACGCAAACGGAGCGTGAGAACGCACGCTACAGGAAGGATGTTGAGAAGGCCCTCCATGGGTCCAGGGGGTCGACAGGTACTTAGAAGGTTTTCACCCATATAATGTGGGGGTTACCACATATTCCCACCAAAAATAGGGCATGTGACAATTAAAGATGGATTCCAATGAGTCCATTCTATATTGGGATTTCAACGGAAGAAATGTATACTGTAGCGCAAATTCGGTTCCAAGCATGTGACAATGAGGTAGATCCCCAGTTGTTAGGTTTAGGTAGGTCCGTGGTTTGTAGATTTATAGGAAGTGCATTTTTCATTGGTTGGAATTATGCGCTGAAGTATGCTAAAGTTGCAAAGTTGGGGACCCAAACCCCAGTGACTGGGTCTTTGTGGGTGGGTTGGCAGGTGACCTTCAGTGATTGAGGTATAGCCGTATAGCCATTTTGGAGATACCTGGGGTTTCAATTGCAAATATGCCAGATTTGTCAACAAAGTATGCTGGAACATGGGGTGTAACCAAACCCCTGGGATTTCATCCTGGCCGTGCAAAGGCGGCTGAAAAGCTGAAGCCCAAGAGCAGGCCGCAGCTTCCGCCACAGTTCAGAATGCATCCAAAGTAAAGCCAAACTGGCAAGGAAACCAAGAAGGGTTGCGGCGAGAACTTGTCCGTGATTGACGAGCCAAGTCAGAATGCCATTTCAAGTGTAGTAATATTCTTTCAGAGATCATCAGTCAACGCAACATTTGCACTAGTCAAGATTAGTCAGCAGGAGTCGAAGCACACGCCGGCGCTGGAGCCTTACAGGATCTTACAGGGATCACTGAAGAGGAAGACAGGAGGCAGTAATGCTCGATATATTGCCCGACTTTTTTTGGCAAGCGATATGCAGTACATCGAGTACTACACGTCAGCAGCAGTAAACCCAGGGCTGGTTATCTATTTCATTTTGGGGGTTATATAAAAGTTTCCATTGATCTCGATTTTCAGCAACGGGAAAATGGAGGTGGACTTAGCGAGTGGTGTTATACCATTGCTTCATACTAGAGGCTGAGAAGGTCTTGGGCTCGACAATGGTAGTGTCCCAACAATGGAGGATTATGTCGGAGATGATGGAGTCGATGGGCTGATGCTGCAACTGTGAGTTCTGGCCAATCGGCTCTGGGGGCGCCTCTTCCAAACGGAAAAGAAATAGTACGCAAGGATAGGGAGTTATTGAAACAGATGTGGAATTCAGGGGAAGTGGGATGGCGAATGATATGACCAAGATGTTTAATTCTAGAGAGCGAATAGAGGATGGAGTGCAGGTGGAGAGAACAGGGTATGCAAGGGAAAGGCGGTATTCGTTGGAACATGGAGAGTCGGATGGTTGTAGAACGCGATGGTAGTAGGGGCTTTTAATTTGAAAGATTTGTCGAAGAGCTTTACAATGCAGAGAATCAATTTTCGTGAATTGGGCAGGAGAGTATTCTTGGGACTCTGAGCCATAGAGGAGAATGGATTGAACAATTTGGGTATATACCCGGAGCTTAAAATTTCTGGGAGATGGGGGTGCCTGAAAAATAAAAAGGGGTCTAGAGGTCTAGAGTCTAGAGTTTTAAAAGCGGAGGATGCCTGGGAGCATTTGTAATTAACATCAGGAACAGAGGAAGAAGTGGGTGTAATGAAGGAGCCGAGATATTTGGCAGAGGGGAGAATGGGTAGGGGTGTATCTAGAGCATCAGGATTAACTGGGGTATGGAAGAAGGGGGCGCAGTATGGGCAATCGCACGTGGTGGTGGGCCTGGGGGTAGTTGAAGTGGAAAGAGAGACTGGGATGGCAGAATGAATGCATATTAATTGGCATTTAGAGCCATGAAGGAGGAGACCAATACGTGCCGCGAGGTGTTGGAGAAGATGCAGGAGGCGACAAAGTGTGTCATGGGTACGAGCGATGAGAACCGTATCATCGGCGTATTCGACATCAGTAAGTGGATGGATGGAGGAGTCGGTCCAGGGAGTATAAGCAAATATTTCATGAAAGAAGGAGTGAAGATCAGAGGTAAGTGCGGAAAGGACAATAATAAAGAGGTAGGGGCTAAGAGGGCATCCTTGTTTAATGCCTCTTTTAAGGGAGAATGAAGGGGATTTTGATGAGAGGTCGGAAACAAAGAATTGTGCATTTGAATAAAGAGACATAATGCATTGAGAAGGAGAGGTGGAACGCCATATCTATAAAGGGAGGCGGAAAGGTGTGAGTGACTAACCGAATCAAAAGCGTGGGACGAATCGAGGAAGAGGATATAGAGAGACGTGGAGTGACATTCGAAGAATTCAGTGAGACGTCGGAGAAGAAAGGAGGGAGTGGAAGGGGAACGGTGTTGGCGAAAGCCATACTGTTGAGGCTGGAGAAAGTGGTCACTGGCATTGGAGAGGCGTTGTTGAATCATAGCTGCGTAGAGCTTGTAAATGGAATTGGCGAGAGAGATGGGTCTGTAACTGGAAGAAGATCGACTAGACTTATTAGAAACCTTTGTATATCATGATGACTTTGCTGAGTTTCCAGTGATTGGGGGCAATGCCGAGAGCGAGGCAGTCGTTGTAATGCGACAAGAGAATACGTTTGACAGGGTGTGGGAGATGGAGCCCGACCAGATTTGGAGCGACGATAAGCTCTATATAATTCGAACATGGTAAAAGGTGTATCAAGTTGAGGTTGAGGAGGGGCTAGTGGATCTAGAATGGGGAGAGGAATTTGATTCCAAATTGGGCGAGGACTGTGGTTTTCTCGGAACGGAGAGAGGGAGTGCCGTCTGGTTTATTGACACTTTGAGTACGGGGTTGATATTTGGAGCGGACGCGCTTGATGGTTTGCCAATGTTGTAAGGGAGATGGAGAGGCAATAAAGTCGGAGTGGAGGTTTTGTTTGATCTAGTTTTTTTGACAATTTTATGTTTTTATTGCGAAGAGATTTGTGAGAATCGGGATTAGAGAGAGAGAGAGAGCTGGTGAATAAGATCTATGCGAGAGAAGGCTTAGGGGGAAAACAGGAGTCGGAAGCAGAGGAGACAATGGATAGACAGAATTGGTCAGGGGGGATGGAAGGAGAGGGTGCGGAAGGGAGAGAAGGGAAAGGGGATGGAAGATAGGTGGAGAACCGCCCAATGTTGGTACGCGAGGTAACTCCTTTTGCAGCGTTAGCGTTTGCTCGTTCGTTGCCAGGGAGACCAGTGTGGGATTTAACTTTGAAGAGGTAGACAGAAGTTAGAGAGGCGAGATAATGCTTGAAAAAAACAGGTTGGGAAATGGACCCTAGTTCATGGGAGTTGGGCAGTGGTAAACATCGGTTGGAACATGTTGAAACCTACTTTCAAACATGTTCTTCCTTTCCCACTTAGCATCTATTTCCATTTGGCATGCTTCTCTCAGAATCTGGCATGCGTGCTGTGTATTTTATGTATATATATATATACATATATGATTTTGTGTATATATATGTATATGTATATTATATATATAATGTATCAGATTCATACTGTGAGTGTGCCAATATACTATCTTTGATTATTATTGTATTTGCAGTAAATCTGAGATCGTGATATTTCAAAAGGTCACCACTCAGGCGTCCGCAGCGGGAGCCGCAGCCGACGCAGCCGCACTCCCAAGAAGCGCCGGAGCCGGGGCTGCCCAGATGTGATCAGATGGGAGTCCCAAAGATGGTTATGGCTGGGATGGATGATGATGTTGGATGATTGGAAATGTTCATGGAACTGTCAGTTGGTTGGATGATTTTTTTTGGCTGAATGTAGAGATCTTGCAACTGTTTGGGGGCTCATACCGTAAGTCAAACTACCCCAGAGACCTCTAACATTGGCCGAATAAACCATCAGAAACTCCCCAGCAGGTCGAAGCCCCCGGCGAAAAGAGCGAAGTCAGGGCACTTGATGACAGATGCTGACAGCCATGGGATGCCACGGGCACACCAATCCTTAATTTGGGCAGGAATTGATGCGGGTTGCTGGGGTTGTCAAAATCATTGTTCAGAGTTCATCGTTTTTGTGGTCAATGAGTATAGTGAAGGATGGTGAGACAACAGGGCGTCCTGAAGCAATTTTGGCAGCGCAGACACCCAAACCGAAAGTCCCGCAAGCCAAATGTCGGACTGCTGTGCCACTTTGACCCGCTTTGTTCATCTCATGAATGGTTGTGTCCAAGCAAAGTTGGCCCCCCAAACACACAACCCAAAATCCACCACTGAAAAAAAACACCACTATCCACCAAAATGTTTCTAATGGTGGAAAGATCAATCCTTGAGCACCTTTGTACTGAGGTCGCAGCCGCAGCGCGCCCAAACGAAGGAAGAGCAGTCCCTCAGCTGAAGCGTCCACCTGGGGAAATGAGATGACTTTAAAACAGCATTGAAAAGAAGTTGAAAAGTATGTTGCTTATAGTTCATACTAATTCAATAGGGGGTTTGCTCTAGGGCCTCCCGGGTCATTTGTGATTCAGATGGCTGACCCATGCTATGCCACGATAGTTCATGAGCCAACGTGTTGAGATGTCATCGGTTCAGTGGTAGGATCGCAGTTCCTTGGCAGTTGCATGTTCCGACCCTCTTCCCTCAAACAGAACACTGCCACGCCTTGAAGGACTTCTTTAGATTTTTTGGGTAGAGTGGCTTTTCAATCTCTTGTGCGTTTTGGGCCATGACTCATGACATCTCATGACCCTTTCATAATTTTCCACCCCTTGATTTGACCCCTCTACAGTGGGGGCTGTGAGGTAGAAGTAGAAGCTGAAACTGAGATGGGAGATTTGCGAGGATATGGAAGTGGAAAAAGATGGAAAAGATGTGGACAGGGCAATTACATACTTGAATTGTTGTGGATTGGTATGGCTCTTCTGGTGGAATGAAAACTGCCATTTTTTTCAGAATCTATTGGCCTGCACTTGGGATGCTTCATTTGCGTATTTGACTCAGATGAATCCCTGCCAGTTGCCCAGATTGGCCTTTGATTAAGTGGATCGGGTTATGCAGAGGTTGGGGAACGGGAGCAGGCATGTGGATAGCATCACGGGAGCAAGGCCAGAGTTGTCAGTTGCATCAGCCTTTCTGCTTTTAGCTGTGAATTCTTTCAACAGAACTATATTGTTATTGAGATGTCCCGCCTACAGGGCACATGGATGGGAGAAATGAATAGAAATGAAGCAGCTTGTTGATACCCTTGGCTGCTAACAACGACAAGCATCAAAAAAAGCAGCACTCCGCAAATGAGTCAAAAAGATTCAATAAGCATCAATAAACAAAATCGATGGCTGGAGAAATATTTGAGACGGATGTTGTTTGATCTGTTTTGTGCTTGGAAATACGGGCATACAGAAGGAAGAGAGGGATAGATCATGATAGATCACATTATTTGCCATGAACCTCAACGATAGAGCCCTTCTTGGGTCGACAGATCAAGCGTTGGAAACATAGTTGAGTTGAGAAAGCCTCGTTCAAGCAGCTCATATTTTTTGAGCATTGTCCCTCCAGCCAAATGCTGGCCAGTCTTGATGGTCAACAAGTCCTTCTATGCGGTTCTCCTCGTGGACCCATCAGCTACCTTGGATGAGATAAAGCTGGCGTTCAAGCGGCGAGCTTTGCAAGTTCATCCAGATAAAGGTCTGCCATGCCCAATCCGCTGTTAGTTGATTGTTGTCGAGTTTGTTTGACTTGCTTCGATCGGGAACAGGGCTTAGACTTGGACCTTATCAAAAGGGAGTTCCCCGCAATTCTCACGGGATTGTACCTTTCCATACCTTGCCACTATTCATGGACCACTCCCAATTGTGGGAACCCAGCTTCGTTCAGGTGGCAGTAAGGAAGCCTTTCATTTGGTCTACCAAGCCCTGCAGACTTTGACTGATCCAGCAGCACGGAAGAAACATGACAAGAGTTTGGCCCATGACGCGGCTACTTCAATGGCTAATCCAGGGCTTGTCCAAAGTGAGCTAAAGCCCAAGAAGAAGACTGGGGGAAAGGGATCGAAGGGATGCTCTTCCGCCACAGCATCGAAACCAAACACTGCATACACATTCAAGACAACCTCAGGACAGGCTGGAAGGACTGAAAAGACTGCGGGTTGTGAAAGAGGCACATCCAAATTCCCGCAATCCAAGCAAGGGCAGCTTTTATTGAAAATCCATCGGCTTCTCAAAGGATTGCCACGAGAGGTTCGGAAGGATTTGATCCAAAAAGAGTTCTCACAGAAGCAACGCTTGATTCTGGAGAAGTGGATGGTTGACACCTTCTCAGCGGGAGATGGGCCATTTGAAGCTGGCCCAATGCTTTGTGAAGCTCAGCCACCCCCTGAACAGCAAGCGAGGACTGCCGAAAGTTCCTATGCTTTGGCTCTTCACGGTGGTAAGACTTCACCTGTGGATGACTCCAATGCCAGCATCACGACCAGATGCCCACCACCTGGAGCTTCGAAATCCATGAAATGCATCAAGAACAAGTCACAGCCCAGGGGCCGAGATCCCATCAGGAGTTTATGTGGATGTGTCAGGAAGAATCGTTCACTTGGACACGGTGGTAGCTACAGAGCCAGAATCCGATTTGATGCCATTTACATTGAAATGTTTTCTGCAAAATGCGATTTACCAACTGCACTTGAATACTTGTTGATTCTTACATCTGTGAAGCAGAAGATGCTGGATGACACCAATCCATGTGCCACATTCGAAAACCGCCTGCAAGAGGCCTTGATATCATCTGCTGCTGAGCATGGAAAATGCTTTGATGATTTGGAACTTCGGTTTGGCGTTGTTCAGGGTGCTGGCGTTTTCATAGGCTCAGAGTTGCGAACACCAATACTTCAGAGCATTGGAGAGCTAGGAAAAATTCGAGGCATTTTGGAGCCCTTCCGGGAGTTTGCCAACAAGAATTGGGGCCGCAGGGGGCCATTTCGGCTGTATAGTCCTACATATTTGCAGCATCAATGGGTACAATTTCAGGAGGCTGTTGCAGATACCTGGAGAGCTGCAGGTGCTGATACCAGCAAAATTCTACGAAAAATCCGTGCCCTGTATGCTTCAACATCTGGCTTGCGTGACAAACACCTGCGAGCTTGGGAGTGCAAGCATATGGCCTTGCAAGACAAAAAAAGGCGATACGCATGGGACATGACAAATCAAAACGAGAAAAATGGAGGACGCATCGGGCTACAACGGTCCGAGCTTCGGCGTGCAAAGCAGCTCCAAGCCTGGGAAAGAAAGAGTATGTGCCTTGAGGACAAAAATAGACATCGACCCCGAAAGTGGCGTGTGCCTATCAAGAGGCAACAGTCTCTCAATGCTGTAGTGAAAAAGAATTCATTTGCTTTGAAGAAGGTTCTCGTGAGATGGGAACGGTGGTTGAAAAAGGATGCTCAATGGATTGAGAAACAGCGCCGCAAACTGTTGCGTGAGCGCAACAGAGATCGTGAAGCGCAACGTCGGGCACAGGTGCTGGCACAGCAACATGCTAAAAAAGAAGAACGCTTAAGAAGAGAAGCTTGGCGCAAGAGAAGCAGATTTTGCTGAGCAATCCGCATTCGTCTTCGAGGTGGCCAATATAGACTTGTGGCTTTCGAGTGCGGAATGGGCTTGATGGAGTGAAAAGATCTTGGAGGATGGCATGGAGACCAAGGATCGTAACTTGGAGGAAGGCAATCTGTGTGGCAAATGTGTTGCTCAGCCTTGATATCACGGCCTTTGACCAAGACCAACAAGCACACAATGTTTGCTGCAAACTGCTCTTTGTCAAAATACTGATCCATCATGATCCATCAAACCTGGCGAAATCAGGCATTTGCTGCATACGAACGGGCCCCTTAGTTGATGCAGGGGTGTCAGTGCATGTGTGTGTGAGAGAGGAGGTAGAAGTGTGGATGTTGTGAGGATGTGTCGCAGTATGCAGTGCAAAATGAATTGGAGGTTATCAAAAATATTCAAAAATATATTTTATTTATATATATAATATATAATTATGGGTATAGTATCGTTAAGAGCTTTTTGCAGTGTTTGAGAACTTATATAAATCATAGAAGTTGCGCACGATTGCGCACGTTTCATAGGAGTTGCGCACGTTCCATAGCAGTTGTGCACGTTCCATAGAAGTTGTGCACGTTTCATAGGAGTTATGCACGTTTCACAAGCCCCCTAATAACGTTCGTGTTTAACTGCTGCGGAATGGACTCAAAACCGAAGCTCTTAATGATACTATACCGTTGATTATATATATATATGTATATATAAATTGAATAAAATTAGATAAAACTAGGATTTCAGCTAGGTCGACCTCCCTGTAGAAGAGCATTTCCTGGAGAATCAAATCTTTGAGATATGGATTGTAAGCTCTCTGAGATGGCTGCATTTTCTAGAGGGACCTTTTTCGAGATCCTTGAGTCGTAAGATACGTTCTGGATTTTGGTATGCCTAATTTTTTGACAATCTTTTTAGGCACCTCGGAGCGTTTGTTTTTGATTTTCTGGTGGTCCCTAATTTTCTAGAGGGTCCAATCAAAAGGAAGCGAACTGATTTGGAAGATCTGATTTTCGCGGGCAGTTCCAAATTTGTTGTTCTATTGTTTGTGTCTGTTTTTTTTTGATTTTTTGAATTCCGGGGTCTAACGGTTGCATTACCTTGGCTCCCTGATTCTGGCAGGAACCCATCCACAGGTACATAAGTATTTTTAATGTGTGTTTTTTTTTTACTTATTTGGTTTTATTTAATTGACGAAGTAGGGGGGAAAAAAAACAAAAAAAATAATGGTTTGCAAGATCTTGTAGATACTATACGTATTTGTTCGTATCTTGTGCCCGCTCCGGAATCGTTATTTTCGGTTTGAACATTGAACAAGACCTTATTGGAGCCAACAACACACAGGCACAAATCAAGATAGATACCAATATCTCATTGCGGGCGCCCACGAAGAAAATTAACTGAAAATCGAT